TACATGTTTCGACGTTACACTTCTGAGAAAGACGTTGTAACGTCGAAACATGTAGTCGTCGACTTTTTGAAGGCCATAGATAGGCCTCAATAAAATGTTTTTAATTGTGTACCAGTTTAGCGTTGAATATTATTTATGATTTTAATGTAATAAACAACCCATATAATTTGAAACAAACACATCTTTGTGTTTTATACAAAACAGTTCTGATACATATAATGTGTGTTCATCATTAAAACATTTAACAGCATTTATATTATTGTTTACTTACCTTGTCTTTCTCTTCAAAGTTTTTATAAGATACAAATTGCATGTATTTTGTGATATTTGGTATAATTTTTTTCTGTTAAGTTTTCTTGGTGTAAAAAATCTAAATTACAAAACATTAGTAACTATTACCTTTAAATATTGTGCAGTTAAACATTTTGTAATCAGCTAATTTGTTTTTTTAAAGATTATGAGGTGGTGATTGTATTTGGTGAATTAATGCATAAAAATACATTAGGAATTAACAAAAGACACAAACTATAAATAACTTCAAGTCTAAAATGGTATGAAAATACAGGATTTAGTACTTAAGTAGTTCTAGCAATGTCATGTTTTAGTGCAATTTTATATTTGAGGTATGTCTACTCATTTGGATAAAACCTTATTTCCCAATCATTGTAAAATATCTGAAACTGTTTGTAAAGATAGTCTTCGTCTTTTACTACATATTTTGTTTTAAATTGGTGAATATCAGATAGAGTACTGATAACAGTTTTAATATAAAGATGTGAAGAATAAGAAGCTTATGAATTATTGTTAAAGTTATCAAGATAATGTAAATCGTGAAATCAGTGTTGTTAGAGATTTTGGAACCATTTTTGAATGAAGCAATCCCTAATTCTTGACTTGTTCCTCTCTAGCCTAACTGCAAGGTTTGATAAGAATATAAAGGTGAAGCACTGATGTAACCATGGAAGTATTAAAGATGAAAGGTGAACCCTTTTCTGATGAGGAACAGGATGCTTTATTGGATATCAACTTGGTGAAAAATGAAGGGGAATCTTTAAAATTAACTTGTAGTAAGCATACATATTTAAGATTTAAATGTATTATTTTTTTTCCAACAGTATTTTTTATTTTTCATAAAATGTTGTGAATTCTCCAAGTTTTATTTTAGCAGTGTGCAGATATTTTCTTGCTGTCCTGATAAGCACTGGTATTGGGAGTGAGGCTTGTCAGTGCTGGTTGACATACTATTATATATGTATATATATATATATTCATCTTTGCTTTCATTTATAAGTTCTCAGAATACATAGTTTTCGTTTATGTCACACATCCAGGGATTCACTTGATACATCCATCATCTTTTAGGTCAAACCAAACAAAGCATGTATGTTGTTTATATTTACCTGTGTCACCAGAAAATATTGATTTTTAAAGAAATTTAACAATGGATGAGACGTTATCCAAAGAAATACCAGGAAAGTTTAGATATTGTTTCAAAGGCAAAATATTGCAAAAAGTTAAAATTGGTTGAAGATAAAGACTCAAAAGAAATCCCAAAGAAAAATTGATGGAACAATGTCAAAGACTACCCAGACATAGTAAACTATCTTGTAAACACACAAAGTGCATATACTTTGAATAATTTAAAGGCTTACAAGTCTCTGGAATCATATAATCAGTTTATTTGTGGTTGGGTTAAACCTTTCAAGATCGGTCACAGGTGAAAGGCCGTGTCATCTCATTTGTTGACTCGCATTCAAATTTTATTGAACTATTTCGTGACTTTATATCAATAAGTTTTGTATCAAACTGTAGATTATAATTCAAGTTTTAGAACTATGCATTACTCAGTTTCTTAACTTAAAAATAAACATAAAAAAACACAGATAAATATTGATTTTTGTGTGTCACGTGGTATGTTGAATGCAGCACTGGCTCAAATTAGATGTTTGTGAAGTCAAAATACTAAGTCTATAGTTTTGTACGAATT